AGCCCAACTGACCGACAATCAAACAACGAATATGCGCAATTTTTTAAAATCATAAAACACTACATTAGGGTCAGGTTCACAATTATAGGATACGTAGGTAATTCTGATAGTTCTGATGGTTCCACTATTTCTAATGCCGCACTTATTGCACCAGGTGTAAAGCTATCTATAGAGGGGCACACTATGATACCAGTGGTCCCTTTTAGTTGCTTGGTTCGAATGCACACACCACCAAGCAGCTCATCTGCAACCAGGCGACCTGTGAATATATTTAATGTTATTAATTAAATTTTATAATAATTTTAACCCAAACATCTGATTTAATATAATAATACCTATATAGAGTCTGACCAATTTTGACATTGGATAATAAATTTTGTTGTGGAATTTCCAGATTTCCTAAATTAAACTAAAATGTGAATACTTGCGTTATCATCATCAACTAACCAAAGAAGTTGCACAGGCGGAATAGTCAACGACAGTGCTTTCTACGTTAGAGTGTATCTTATTCATCATGAATTCCCAGTGCCTAGGCAGCTCGGGAACACCGGAAACTAGAAAGAAAGAACGTTCACTGCTAAAACAGTGACCATGATGTGCTTTCAATTTTCTTACTAGATATTTACACCGATGTGACAGCGTAACTTCGAATACACAACAACTCGACAAATAACTCAGTGAGAAACTCACCCTCTATGGTTAACTTTAGCACCAATGCTCTTTAGCATTTCAACAAGATCTACTTCGAATTTTAATCCTTTTATATAGGATGTTTCTACGATCACTACTTCAAAAGCAATAGATTCGGATGAAATAATTTTTTCTAATTCATTTTTTTATTACGAATTGTTGTCACTCCTTTTTCGCTAAGAATATTTCATAATTTTTTTGTCAGAAAACGTGCTTAAATTACTCAGGTTACTCATTATAAAAAAAACACATGTCAAAAAACCATTTTAAGAATACATATATCAAAAAAAAAAACATTTACTTTGAAGTATATTTATATCTGTTTCTAACCGTACATCAAAACCTGCTTTACTTAACCTTAGATATAAATTAAGCACTAAAGATAATTGCAGTGTTCCAAACTGGTTAATAAACTCATGAAATATGTAATATTGGGGTGTATAACATCGGCCTAATTACAAACATAATGCAGGTCATATTATGATGATTAATCAAGATTTTTTTATAGTATACTGTAGATCAGCGTTAATTTAATAGTAAATACATAGAAAGCTCAAGCTGCAATAACTCTTGAACCAGCAAACCCACACAAATAAAATTATATTTGTCAGGTTAGTTATAATGTGCTCTTTAACATAATAACGCTCTTTTTTTTTTATTTCTATTGTCTGAAGCATAGTGGAGGAAATAAAATAATACCAAAATTCTCATTTTTGATGTATTATTAATAAAAATATCAAAAATGTACCTTTGAGTTTTTCTGTGCATATTGTGACACAATACGCAATAGTTACATTTTTGATATTTTGATTAACAATCAATCAAAACGAAAATTCTTTGAGTTCCCTGCTACGCTCCAAGCAATAGAAATAAAAAAAATATAAAAAAAAGAGCGTTATTACGTTAATAACGAACCCTACAAATATAATTTTATTTGTGTGGGTTTGCTGGTTCAAGAGTTATTGCAGCTTGAGCTTTCTATGTATTTACTATTAAATTAACGCTGATCTACAGCACACTATAAAAAATCTTGATTAATTATATGACCTGCACTATTTTTGTAATTAGGCCGATGTTTATACACCCCCAATATAATATGCAATAGCAGTACTGCAGTAACGTTTATAGGGTATCGACAACTACCGACAGATTTTCACTGATCGACATCGAATTGACCAATTAGATTACAAGATCAGGTGTAACATGAAAATCATGCGTTTTTTAAAAAACCTCTTCTGCGCACTAGTAAAAAAAATTCCTTGCAAAATTTTAGTATAAGACAAGCCTCGCTATAATTGTAAACCTGACCCTAATGTAGTGTTTTATGATTTTAAAAAATTGCGCATATTCGTTGTTTGATTGTCGGTCAGTTGGGCTGGACTGCATCCATGGACTGGTCCAATATGGGCCGAGCTTAGTCCAAAATTTTTGACCATGGATAATTGAAAAACCCATGGATAGTCCATAGTTAATCTGATTGGCCAAATTATAGATGTCATCATCGTTTTCCTGAACATATGATGTCAAAATTACAATCCAAACTTAATTTAAAACTAGGCTGTTTACAGTTTGCTATTTGGATCCATGGATTGTACCATTTATGGGCTGGGCTTGGATATGGGCTGGATCTGGATTTTGAAATACCCGGCCCAGCCCGGCCCATGCGGAACCCTATCGATCAGTGAAAATCGGTGGGGTAGTTGGTATTGACAGTGTTGGCTTATGACCTTAAATGACCTATATGACCTTTATGACCTGTCATAGGTCATTTGGTCATAACGAAGGT